AGTTGTCAATGGGGAGTAAGTTGTAAAGAATTTTAATTTTTTTCCTTTCCCTTGTTCTCCACATCAGAGTGATTAGCCGGTTTTCATTTTTATGTTCACAACGGAGTAATAATCTGTTACTAAAAGCAAAACCAGACATTCTAGACATTCCACTTTTTTTTTTTTTAAAGATTTCATTTATTTATTCATGAGAAACAGAGACAGAGAGAGAGAGAGGCAGAGACACAGGAAGAGGGAGAAGCAGGCTCCATGTAGGGAGCTGGATGTGGAACTCAATCCTAGGACTCCAGGATCACACCCTAGGGCTGAAGGCAGGCGCTCAACCACTGAGCCACCCAGGTGTCCCTAGACACTCCACTTTTAATGAAAGAAACAAATGTGTGCTGATAAATTTTCTGCCTAGGTTATGAAATCCTGCAGCCGTAGAGGACATTTGTGTGAATAACAAGAATATCAGGTGCCTTGTCCACAGGAACCACAGCAAGCAGATGGAATGCTTTATTGTGTGTCTCTCTCACCTGGAGGCTTCTTAAAATACTCATTCTATGGCTACCCCCAAAGGCCCTGAGTCAATAGGTGTGTCTTGTGGGGCTGAGAATGAGCATTTCTAATGAGCTGAGGTGAAGCCGATGGAGAGCTCAGTGCAGAGATGAAACTGTAAAAACAGGTTATTTAGGGAAGGTCAGACTGCCTGCCCCCCAGGCTCCAGTATAGAGAGGCTGTAGATGTACAGGCTGTGACGAGCAGCAGAGTCAAAGGTTCTTTTTTTTTTTTTTTAAGATTTTATTTATTTATTCATGAGACACAGAGAAAGAGAGAGAGAGAGAGGCAGAGACAGAAGCAGGCTCCATGCAGGGAGCCCGACGCGGGACTTGATCCTGGGACTCCAGGATCACGCCCTGGGCTGAAGGCAGGCACTAAACCACTGAGCCACCCAGGGATCCCCTAGAGTCTAAGGTTCTAATGGACACCTGCTGAGTAGCTATGGTGAGCCAAGCAGGCTAAAGGCTTAAAGGGTGGGAGTCCCAGGGGCCTCACTGCAGAGGACTCCACACAAAGCCACCCTCCTGTGTTTTTGCTGCCAACTATTAAGAAAGACATTAAGACTCAGATGGCTATGGGACGCCTGGGTGGCGCAGTGGAAGAGTGTCTGCCTTCGCTCAGGGCGTGGTCCCAGAGTCCCAGGATCAAGTCCCACATGGGGCTCCCTGAAAGGAGCCTGCTTCTCCCTCTGCCTGTGTCTCTGCCTCTCTCTGTCTCTCTCTCTGTCTCTCATGAATAAATAAATAAAATCTTAAAAAGAAAAAAAAGACTCAGGTGGCTCTAATGTCCTACCACCTATATAGGCAAACTGATATTCTTGTCAAAGGTAAAAAAAAAAAAAAATGGAACCTAAGAACACCCAGTCAGAAATGGCTAACAAGGCTTTCCCAAATAAGGCAATTCCTGAAGCTACAGCCAATCATATTACTTGTTTGCTTTGCTTCCGTTTTTTTTTTTTTTTCTGCAAAGGCTTTCCCCCTAGTTTGATTTAGTGCTGGGGGACTGGATTTGTGTTGCTAAAATGACTTCTTCAAAGTTTTCATATAGCTCACTTTATCTTTAACAGAACTAATAAAAATAAAAACCGCCAGGCCTCATGCTAGCTCAGTGGTATACTTAAGGAGGGCTTTCTTACTGCCCAGTGTCACGTTCCATCCAATCCCCTCTTCTCACAAAATCACCTCTTCTTGCTCCATCACTCCTGCTACAACTTAACATGCAATATAGCTTAGTATTTCTGCTTTCATGTTTCCTATGTTTTCTTGAACCTCATAAAAGCCACAGGAAGGCAGGACTGCATGTCTTCTGCCTACATTTCTCCCATGCACCTACCAAAGTTCCTGAAAACGCCGTATGCGCTCAGTGCACTTTGTTAGAAGAGTGGATAAACATGGGCTTTCAATTTCCTGGTAATTTTAACTCTTCAGGTACCCTAAATGTACTCTTCTAAGTTTCTCCAAAATAGTGTGAAAATTAGAAGAGAGAACTCATGGAAGATGTATTAAGGAATCACAGTACAAACCGGTATGAGAAGCATAATCAGCAGTTAAGAAGGAAGACAATTTTTATCTTGACAAAGGAGACTTTCTAGGGATGATTTTAATCTCCTGCTTTTTTTTTTTTAAGAATTTACTTATTCATGAGACACACTGAGAGAGACAGAGACAGAGACAGAGACATAGGTAGAGAGAGAAGCAGGCTCCATGCAGGGAGCCTGACATGGGACTAGATCCCAAGACTCCAAGATCAGGTCCTGGTCTGAAGGCAGTGCTAAACCGCTGAGCCACCTGGGCTGCCCAATCTCCTGTTTTTAACAAAAGAAAGGATGATCTCTCCTTGCCCCAGCAATCACACTCTAATCAGGGCATGTAGCCAATAAGAGACTGCCAAACTCAGTCTTGTGTTTCTCAAGGACATTTTATTGAAAGTTATCCTCCCCAATCTTCTCCTAAGACCTAATAAAAGCTGACTTTTGTTTTTTTTTAATTGTGGTTTGCCATAGTGTGCTTATCCATAGTTGAAATTTCGCCATTATTCTAGAATAAATTCAGTTTGCTTATAAATAACTGGCTATTTATTTAAGGTTGACCGGTAGCATAGCTCAATGTTTTCAGGAATGAAAAAAAAAAACACATTTTCAAGATAAAAGCCTCAGTGTCAGGCACATTTTTAGCACAATGATATGCTGTTTGATTCTATCTTTTCTCAGACTTCTTAAGCCTTCTCCTAAAAGTTCTCTGAAGTCATAACGCTTTTTTAGCGTTTACTGATATGTAGGAAGATGGAATGTGGGTTTCCCCAGAGCTATTTCTAACACTGTCTTTAAACATCTGAAATGTGTTTCACTGCTGTTTTTTGGAGATAATTTTAATTCCTAAAGCAACACTACTGCCAGGGCCTGAAAAAGAATCACTTCCCCACAAGAAGTTGAGATAATTGGGTTCAGATAACCCATTATTTCAGTGTTTAGATTCTTTCTTTGCACACATGCTCCAACTGGAAATGGCAACGTGTTCTATACCAAAACCAGCAATCATTAAGTTGCTCTGTGTTTGACATGTCAGACTCTTATTTTTTTTTAAGATTTTTTTTTAAGATTTTATTTATTTATTCATGAGAGACACACAGAGAGAGGCAGAGACACAGGCGGAGGGAGAAGCAGGCTCGATGCGGGACTCGATCCCGGGTCCCCGGGGTCACACTCTGGGCCCAAGGTGGGTGCTCAACCTCTGAGTCACCCAGGCGTCCCTGACATGTCAGACTCTTAAAAGGAAATGAATATATCTGAGAATATGGAGCAAGAAATATATGAATAAAAGTGTCCCTCAATAGTTGGGACAGAATCAGTATGCAGGCAAGAGAGGTTTAATGTGGAACCAGAGTCTTACTTCATCATTGTCCCCATAATTCTGGGTGACCTACCATCCCTCATCCCCATTCATGTAACCAACCTGTATAGGGCATGAAAAAGGAAACAATTGGGCTCCAAATGGAATCGTTTCTGCTAGGTAGGCCATGTCACCAAACCGCGGCAGAATACTGAAACTCATTACATTTACAACCTCCCCCAGGAATTTAGTTCCCACTGCTAGGAATTTTCTGGTAAGCAATAAAAAGGTAATCTGTCATATGGATGAGCCCTCTCCATCTCCCAAAAGATGAGGGATTCCTCTAATAAGTCTTTTTTGTTCCCACAATATGGTGAATCAATTCTTTTCTGTTTTTTTTTTTTTTTTTTTTTACTTATTTATGATAGTCACACAGAGAGAGAGAGAGAGAGAGAGGCAGAGACATAGGCAGAGGGAGAAGCAGGCTCCATGCACCGGGAGCCCGAGTGGGATTCGATCCCGGGTCTCCAGGATCGCACCCTGGGCCAAAGGCAGGCGCCAAACCGCTGTACCACCCAGGGATTCCTATTCTTTCCTGTTTTTGATGCTGTTGTACTACCTTTAAAAACCTTTTCCTTTCTGTAGCTTTTTGGAGCTGCCCTCATCCCATCCCTTAGATGGGATGCTGCCCAATTCACAAATTGCTGAATAAAGCCAAGAGAGCTTTACAATGTGATGAGTTGAATTTTTGTTAACTGGAAATTATAGTTCCCAATCAAGCCTACTGAAACTTACAAAACTGACTTTAATGCTTCAGGGTGAAAACTTTTGAGGAGCAGCAATATATTCCCAGCTATGTAAAGTCTCATTTATTTCGGAACTGCTGTCCAGAAGTAATGTCATCTCAGTAGAAGAATTTGGGACAATCTAAAATAGTAGTTTTCTCCTTTGGAAGCTGGGCTCATGGAGTCTGCATTCATGACTCCTCTCTGCCTTTAAGAAGGAGTAAAGCCAGGAGTCCAGGGTGGCTCAGTTGGTCAAGCCTCTACCTTAGGTTGGGGTCACGCGGGATCCAGAGTCCCATAAGACTGCTCACCGTAAATAAAATAAATAAATAAATAAAATAAATAAAATAAAAAAAAAAGGGATCCCTGGGTGGCGCAGCGGTTTGGCGCCTGCCTTTGGCCCAGGGCGCGATCCTGGAGACCAGGCATCGAATCCCACGTCGGGCTCCCTCTGCCTATGTCTCTGCCTCTCTCTCCCTCTCTCTCTGTGTGACTATGATAAATTAAAAAAAAAAAAGACTCTGCTCAACGGAGAGCCTGCTTCTCCCACTCCCTCTGCTATTCCGCTGCTTGTGCTCTGTCAAGTAAATAAAATCTCAAAAAAAAAAAAAAAAAGCAATGCTCATATACTTCTGCATAGGAGCACCACTTTCCTGCAGCCTTCAGGATGCCACGTGACCTACGCTCCAGAACTCCAGGGTGGAGGATCCCTACCAGAGACCGCCTGAGATCAGGGAACCACATCACCCGGAAGAACCTGGGCAAGGGCGCAGCGAGGAGCCAATGAAGGAATAGGACGCGAGGTTTCTAGGCGGGCACCATCCGCTGGGGCGGAACTTCCGGCCGGAGGCCCTGGCGGTCTTTTTACCCCCGTTAGGTCCGTCTGTCTCCTAAGGTTTCAGAGTGCCGGTTCAGAGTCGGGGTGACTAGTGAAGACGCGAGGGGAGGCACTGTCCTCGCCGCACACACTAGGACTGGGCCCCGCTCCGCCCCATGAGTCCAATGGCGGCGGCCGCGCCCAGGGCCCTAGCGCAGGTAAACGCTCATCCCCCGGACCCTCCCCGCCCCCCCCCCCCGATTATCAAGGCCCGAGCGCGGGGCGCCTGCTCCTGTCCCTGAGACCCCGCATCGGTGTGCTGGGACCCCCGGTGTGAGCGCCGGCGCGCTGCGGTGCGGGAGCGGACCGCAGAGGCGGGGCGGGCTGGGGCAGAGGCTGCGGGGATAGCGGTGCGGGGTGGCTGCGTCAGCAGCGGGGAGCTGCACGTGTCCATTCTTTCAGGAGCAGTGACGGCCAGTGAGGCCTGCGCCCTCGCTGCCTGACGGGGCCGTCTGTCCTAGCGTTGTTGAGAGGGGGGCGACCCGGGTGTACATAGGCTTTATCTGGCCGCAGAAGGGCACGCCCCGCGGGGGTAAGCGAGGAGGAGGGAATCGCAGGAGTCGGTGGATTGTTGATGGACTCCGTGGCCACCGTGGACGTGGGTGAACCGGTTGACTGGTCTATGTTTTGAGAAGGGCCGAGGCCGATTGTGGGTGTTGCAGGTGAGAAAAGGAAGGGAGGAGTCAGGGCAAACCCCAGGGCCTTCGTTACGTGAACCTTAAAAAGTGCCAGTTCCCCGCAAAAATGGCTTGATGTAGGAGCGACAGAGAACTGCGGTTTGGAATAAAGCAGCTGAGTCAAAATAGCAGGCCAGTGTGGAGAACAGGAGAGAGGTAGTCTATTTTAAGGGGAAAGGGGGGAAGTTGGGGAGGCTGTTGTAAACTACAAGTCCACTGGAGTAAGTTGGGAGTTGCGGCTTCTCATTGGCTGAGCTGTTGGGTGCGGTGATCAGGAAAGCCTGTCTTTTTGGGGCCTGAGGTAGTGAAGTCGTGTCCCATATAAGGTCAATCCCATCGCTTTCTGTTGGGCCTGCAGTTGATCACATTGGTAGTGCCTGAGAGCTCCCCGAAGTGCAATCTCCCGACTCCACAGTTTAGTGAGGTTTCCCGTTATGAATAGCAGGGGAAGGGATTGAAGCTCCCGAGAACCTGATGGAAGTTAGCAGTATGTTCATTATCCCTTGGGGTGTCCTAACTTGTCTTGACATGGTTAAGCATCTTAGATGTCTTAGGGAAGTGTGAGTGATGGTGTGGAGTGGGCAACTGGACAGGACATTTTGGGAAACTGGGGGAAAATTGCAGATTGGAGGCTTCCAAAAGTGATGGCTGTTGTGCGGAGTAGGTGGAGATTGGGTCCCATATAGGAAGGGCATGCAGGGACGCCTGGGTGGCTCAGCGGTTTAGCGCCTGCCTTCGGCCCAGGGTGTCATCCTGGAGTCCCAGGATGGAGTCCCACGTCAGGCTCCCTGCGTGGAGCCTGCTTCTCCCTCTGCCTATGCCTCTGCCTCTCTCTCTCTCTGTGTCTTTCATGAATAAATAAATAAGAATCTTTAAAATAAAAAAAGAAGAGGGTCTCTGAGTATCCTAAGTTGACATGTGCTTGTGAGTGTCTGTTATTGAAGGGAGGATTACAGGCAGGTTGAGGAGGGCTTCTCAGCAGCATCTGAGGCTTTCCCTCAGTTGGGATCCACGAGAGTCCTGGGGTGGTAGTGGAGCCATCAAACATCCTTTGGATGACCTGTGACAAGTACAAGAGTGAGTGGTGGGAGAATCGTGTGGTGTGGGGGCAGGAAGGCGTGGGCGTTCATCTGTGGGGTCTGAAGACAGGAGAGAGGTACAGTCTACAGAATCATGTGCACATGGAGAGGAGGTGTGAGCCAAGGACCTCAGGGTCCTGATATTGAGGACTCTCTGGTAAAGCAGGGCCCATACCTGGCTGTCTCGGGGCATAATCTGGGAGCCTGCATGGGAATATCGTGACAGGGGGATGGGACCTTGCAGGCCACACCCAGAGCTTAGATTGCACCTACATGTCCTGTGTCTGTTACTACTGAGGACTGAACAGTGATTGATGGGAAGACGAGAGGAGTGCAGCATTAGCGGCACCAGGATCCTACGTAGCATTTATCCCACGGTGGGGAGCTGAGGTGGCAGGGGAGACTAGGGTGCTGTGTGTGTGGGGGGGTTGGATTGTGGGTTCTCAGAGAGAGAGAGAATGTTCATGGTTCCATCTGTCGCTGTCCTGACAGGGTGGCGTGACCTTTGAGGACATTGCCGTGTACTTCTCCTGGAAGGAGTGGAGACTTCTGGATGAGGCTCAGAGACGGCTGTACCACCATGTGATGCTGGAGAACTTTACACTTATATCCTCACTGGGTAAGGCCTTCACCGTCCTCATTCACCTGGAGTAGTAGACTCTGTATTCCACATCCCCCTCCTCCCTTTTCTAGGGGATGGTTTGTCCTTCTCATGTGTGGCCTGTGGGCACTGCTTGCTTCCCCAGCTTTCTGGGTAGTTGCTTTTGTGGCTAGTTCTGAGTTGTTGGTGTGCCCTTTCCTCTGCCCTGCAGTCCCCGTACCCTGTGTGCTGAACCCTGAGGGTGACATTGGAGGTCAGTAGTCCTGCAGTGAGGCTGATGGATTGCACCTGGCTTGCCCTCTGCACCTGGCTTGCCCTGGTACATGTGTTCAGATCCGTGCCATTTCTGTGGCCCGGCTTTTGATGCCTTGCTTTAGGCGACATTTCCTTGTGCCTGCCTGTGCCTGAAACTGCAGGCATTGGCATTTTTACGTCTTAAGTGGACCATGGGCTACTTCTCAAGAGTGTACTCTGTGTTTCTTTCCTTAGTGTTTATATCTATTTTTCTACCCGCCCCCTTCCCTTCAGGTTTGTGAGCAATGATTGACAGATAGTTATATTATTTAATATGTAATGTATTATGTAGTATAATTATTTCATTTACTCACACATTATGAAATTAATACCGATATGTAGCTAATGAACACACCCGTCACTTGGCATAGTACACTTTTGTTTTTGACGGTAAGAAGGCTTAATATCTTCCCTCTTAGCAAATTTCAACTGTAAATGCAATATTAAGTGTACTCTACATGCTGTATGTTAGTTCCTCCGAAATTTCTCATCTTTTAAGTGAAAGTGTGAACCCCTGAGCACCCGCTGCCCCCTCCTGTAATTCTTAGTTTGTAGCATTCTACTTTTTGTCTTTGAGTCTGATTTTTTTTTTTTTTTTTTTTTTTTTTTTTAATGGGTAAATGCAAGGCTGGATGCCTGGGTAGCTTAGTCTACTTAGTGTCTTCCTTTGGCTCAGATTGTGATCCTAGGGCCCTGGGATCCAGTCCCACATCGGGCTTCCTTCTCAGTGGGGAGTCTGCTATCCTTATCCCTTCCCCTCTGATTATGCTAGCTCATGCTCTCTCAAATAAATAAACACTTTTTTTTTAAAGATTTTATTTATTTATTCATGAGAGAGAGATAGAGAGAGGCTCCATGAAGTGGGTCTGATGTGGGACTTGATCCCAGGTCTCCAGGATCACTCCTTGGGCTGAAGGCAGGCACTAAACTGCTGAGCCACCCAGGGATCCCCATAAATAAATAAACACCTTTAAAAAAAAATTAAAAACCTAATATCTAGGGCACTTGGTGGCTTGCTTGGTTAAGCATCTGACTCTTTTTTATTTATTTATTTTTATTATTTTAAAGATTTATTTATTCATGAGAGACACACAGAGAGAGGCAGAGACACAGACAGAGGGAGAAGCAGGCTCCACCCAGGGAACCTGGATGCGGGACTGGATCCCAGGTCTCCAGGATCTCATCCTGGGCTGAAGGCGGCACTAAACCCCTGAGCCACCCACGCTGCCCCTGACTCTTGGTTTTGGCTTGTGTCGTGATCCTAGGTTGTAGGTTTGAGCCCTGTGTCTGTCCCTGCTCAGTGAAGAGTGTGCTTGAAGATTCTCTCCCCATGCTCCTTCCCCCATTTACAAACTGTCTTGTGCATGTGGGCTCTCTGTCTCTCAAATAAGACTTTTTAAAAAAGGGATATCGTTGTTAGTGATGCCATACAGTGTTTGTCTTTTTTTTTTTTTTTTAAGATCTTATTTATTTATTCATGACAGAGAGAGAGAGAGGCAGAGACACAGGCTGAGGGAGAAGCAGGGTCCATGCAGGGAGACTGATGTGGGACTATATCCCCGGACTCCAATATCAGGCCCTGGGTCCAAGGGAGGCACTAAACCGCTGCGCCACCCAGGGATCCCCAAGTATTTGTCTTTTGCTCTGTGATGATGTCACTTAGCATAATGTTTTCCATGTTCATCCATGTTGTGTTGAGTGGTAATGTTCTCATTGTTATGTCTGAGTATTCCTGCATTTGTTCTTTGTCACTTTACTATTTTGTTTAAGGTTTTATTTTTTTTTTTTAGTAATCTACACTCTGTGTGAGGCTAGAAATTACAACCCCGTGATCAAATGTCCCATGCTGTACCTACTGAGCTTGCCAGGCACTCCCTAATTTTTCTTTGTCATTTTAAACCCTAAAAGATATAGAGAGTTTGTAGAGATACTGATTTTGTTTCCTTGGGATACATACATAATTAGAAATGGCAACAATAGGGGCACCTGGGTGGCTCAGTGGTTGTTGAGCATCTGTCTTTGGCTCAGGTCGTAGTTCTGGGATCAGGCTCTCTGCAAGGAGCCTGCTTCTCCCTCTGCCTATCCCTCTGCCTCTCTCTGTGTCTCATGAATAATAATAAAAAACCTACAAAAAAGAAATGGCAATGGTAGCAGATACGGTAGTTCTATTTTTAATTTTTTGTGTCTTCCCCAATGTGTTCCATCATGACTTCTGTAATTTATATGCGTAGCAATAGTATTCAAGGGTTCAATTTTCACCACTTCCTCACCAACATGTCTTGTCTTTTTGGTAATAACCATTGTAACAGCTATGAGGTAATACATTATGGTTTTATTTCATTTCTTTGATGATCAGTGATTGTGAGCTCGTCTTGGGCACTTAACATCTTCTTTTCACTTTTTTTTTTTTTTCCTTTTCACTCTTTTTTGTTTCTTTGGCTCCGCTGCAACATTTCAATATGGTTTGGTTGTATTTGCTTTTGAAAGCAAATAGGACATGCTTTGGATGTCTGATTCAAAAATTATTGCCAGGTGTAAGGTTAAAGGGGCTTTTCCCTTTGTTTTTGCTAGGAGTTTTGGGATTTCAGGTCATATATTTCAGTCTTTAATCAATGCATGTGCATTTCAAGGAGTGCGTGCTATAAGGTGGAGTCCACTTTTATTTTTTCATTTGGATATTTAGATTTCACAGCAGTAGGAAAGAAGTTTTTTTTTCCCCACTGTAGTTTGTTAGCAGAAATGTGCTGCCTAGGGTCACCTGGGTGTCTCAGTCGGTTAAGTGTCTGCAGTTGGCCTTTGGCTCAGGTCATGGTCTCAAGATCCTGGGATAGAACCCCGATTGGGCTCCCTGCTCTGCAGGGAGTGTGCTTCTTCCTCTCCCCTGCTTATGCATTCTCTCTCTCTCTCTCTCTCTCTCTCTTTCTCTGTCTTTCTCTCAAAGAAATAAATTTTTAAAAAAAGAAAGGAGAGGAAACATTTAAAGATATGTGCTACCTAAAACTGTGATCTTTCTCAAGATGACTTCATGTTTCAGCTTTTTTTTTTTTTTTTAAGATTTTATTTATTCATTCATGAGAGACACAGAGAGGGGGGTGGCAGAGACACAGGCTGAGAGAGAAGCAGGCTTCACGTAGGGAACTCGATGTCGGACTAGATCCTGAGTTCTCAGGATTACACCCTGGGCTGAAGGCAGTGCTAAACCCTGAGCCACCCGGGCTGCCCAGTGTTTCAGCTTTTGTAAAGTTGGTGACAAATATTCCAATGTCCTCTGTGGACCAGGTAGTAGGAGTCTCTGCTCATCAGGGACTGCAGTAGCACCCACCATGTGGCTGATGGAGATAGCCCCAGCTTTATTTCCTACCCATCCCCATGTGTCTCTGCTAATATAGCCTTCAGCCATCTTTTCTATGTGCTTGTGCCCTCTTATGTTCTACTGTACAGTAGTCAGTCTTAATAGAACTACTGAGCCCTCCAAGGCTAATGTCATCTATGGACAGCTATTGAATTGATTTTTGTTGGAGTGAGTGATGGTATCTCATATTCTGCCTTCTTGCTGATAACAGTCCCTTAGGCTATTTTTCTGTGTTCCTTGTGTCCTGAGTAACTCAGGGACAGTGTTGGTGCTCCAATTGGCCTGTTTTCCTGCAGTATTTATATCCTTTTCGTACTCTAGTTGCACTGCTAGGGCTTCCAGGGAAGAGTCTTTTGTGTTTCAGAGAGTGGTTATGCTCCAGACGTGACCACGTGGACTAGAGGACCTGTTTCTTGTGAATGGTGGTTGGCAAAGTTGTGACATCAGGGCTGTGTTTAGGTCATACTGGGCACCTTTTGTTTGTTAAACCAGAGTTTGGTGCCATTGCTGATGGCCACACCCCATTTCTGTCTTTCCTTCCTCACTGTTGACAATTTGTTGTTTTATGGATTTTATTCCTTTGGTAATTCAGTGATGTCTAGCGCAAGGGTTATTAATGCTTTTCGGGCCTCCTTATTTCACCCATTCCTCTCACTGCACTTTATGTGTAGTCCAACATTCACCAGTGAACATTTTGCCATAAGATACTGATATTAAGCTGACCTTGAACAAAAACAAATTTCTTGTAATTGGATATTCCTCCAGTCTTCTACTCAGCCAAGTACCAGTAGCAGAAATGGTCCTATATGAAGCTGTTGTCAGAGAACAAGTTGTAGACTCTGGTTCTCTTCCTTATGTTATACCCTAGTTTTTTATCCTTCTAGTGTGTTCTCCAAAATACTTTGACCAGTTGGGCCCAGGAATGCACAGCAGCCATTCTTTCAAATGAATCTTTTGTATTTGGAAAATTAAGCTATACACTCATGCCTACATGACTGGGTTACTTACATGTTACGTGCTCACTGCTTCGCTTTAGTCAACACGTGCTTTACCAGCCTTTCTTTGCGTTAGGTTGCTGCTGTGGAGCAGAGGCTGTGGAGGCACCCATTGAACAGAGTGCTTCTGGAGGTGTGTCACAGACCAGGACGCCCAGGGTAGCTCTGACTTCCCAGAAGACCCACCCCTGTGAGATGTGTGGTCCAGTCTTGAGAGACATTTTCCATTTGGCTGAGCAGCAAGGAAAAGAAAACAGCCAGAAACTGTTGAGGTGCGGAGCATGTGGGAAACGATTTTATTTCAGTATAAAGTTTGAACAGCAGCAGCACGTGGGAGAAACACTATGCAGAAACGATGGGGCCTGTGACGTGAAGAGCTGCGGAATCCATGATTTAGGAAAGCCCTTTACCTGTAGGGAAGTTCGGAAGGACTTCCTGTCTGGCTCGAGACATCTGCGGCAAGAGGCCACTGTGAGTGGGGAGAAGCCAAACACCATCACACAGTGCAGGGCAACTTTACAAAGGAGAAAAAGTCATTATCCTTGGGGAGAATGCAAGAACGCCTTTAGTCCCAAACATCCCCATGTTCAGGACCAGGGTGTCCACCCTGGAAGACAGTGCTTTGTGTGTAGTGAATGTGGGAAAACGTTCAGGTATAAATCGTTACTTGCTATACATCAGAGGTTCCATACTGAAGAAAGATATCATGAGTTTGGCAAATATGGAAAATACTCTAGGCAAAGATCAACCCTGAGTGAACATGGAAAGACTCATAGTGGATCCAGGCAATACACGTGTAGCAAATGTGGGAAATCCTTAGGTCCCAAAACTGTCCTCATTCATCCCCAGAGATGGCACAATGGAGTAAAGAGTTATGTGTGCAGTGAATGTGAAAAATCTTTTAGCTGTAACTCAGTGTTGATTACTCATAATGTTCAACCTGAAGAAAGGTTTTATAAGTGTCATGCCTGTGGAAAATCTTTTCCCTCTATGTCTGCCCTCTGTTCTCATCGGAGATCTCACACGGGAGAAAGACCTTATGAGTGCCGTGAATGTGGGAAGTCTTTTACGAGTAATTCTGTCCTCCATTCTCACCAGAGACTTCACACTGGAGAAAGGCATTATGAGTGCCGTGAATGTGGGAAATCTTTTATCAGTAATTCTGTCCTCCGTTCTCACCAAAGACTTCATACTGGAGAAAGGCCTTATGAATGCCGTGAATGTGGGAAATCCTTTACTTTTAGTTCTACCCTCCGTTATCACCAGAGAGTTCATACTGGACAAAAGCCTTATAAGTGCCGAGAATGTGGGAAATCTTTTATTACTAGTAATCAGTGCCGTTCTCACCAAACAGTTCACAGTGGAGAAAAGCCTCATGAATGCAGTGAATGTGGTAAATCCTTTCCCCGAAAATATAGCCTTGTCGAACACAAAAAGATTCACTCACAAGAACGGCCTTATGAGTGTAATGAATGTGGGAAATCTTTTATTACTAGTAGCCAATGTCGTTCTCACCAGAGAGTTCATACTGGAGAAAGGCCTTATGAGTGCCATGAATGTGGGAAATCTTATACTGTTAGTTCTGGCCTCCACGTTCACCAGAGAGTTCACACTGGAGAAAGACCTTATGAATGCCATGAATGTGGAAAGTCCTTTACCAGTAGTTCTAACCTACGTTACCACCAGGCAGTTCACAGTGGAGAGAGGCCTTATGAATGCAGTGAATGTGGCAAATCCTTTTCCCGAAAATATAGCCTTGTCGAACACAAAAAGATTCACTCACAAGAACGGCCTTATGAGTGTAATGAATGTGGGAAATCTTTTATTACTAGTAGCCAATGTCGTTCTCACCAAAGACTTCACACTGGAGAAAGGCCTTATGAGTGCCGTGAATGTGGGAAATCTTTTACCAGTAATTCTGCCCTCCGTTCTCACCAAAGACTTCACACTGGAGAAAGGCCTTATGAGTGCCGTGACTGTGGGAAATCTTACATTGTTAGTTCTGCCCTCCGTGTTCACCAGAGAGTTCATACTGGACAAAGGCCTTATAAGTGCCGTGAATGTGGGAAATCTTACACTGTTAGTTCTGCCCTCCGTGTTCACCAGAGAATTCATACTGGACAGAAGCCTTACAAGTGCCGTGAATGTGGGAAATCTTTTGTCAGTAATCCTGCTCTCCGTTATCACCACAGAGTTCACACTGGAGAAAGGCCTTATGAGTGCCACGAATGTGGGAAATCTTTTACCAGTAATTCTGCCCTCCGTTCTCACCAAAGACTTCACACTGGAGAAAGGCCTTATGAGTGCCGTGACTGTGGGAAATCTTACACTGTTAGTTCTGCCCTCCGTGTTCACCAGAGAATTCATACTGGACAAAGGCCTTACAAGTGCCGTGAATGTGGGAAATCCTTTACCACTAATTCTATCCTACGTTATCACCAGGCAGTTCACACTGGACAAAAGCCTTATAAGTGCCATGAATGTGGGAAATCTTTTATCAGTAATCCTGCTCTCCGTTATCACCACAGAGTTCACACTGGACAAAAGCCCTATGAATGCCGTGAACGTGGGAAATCTTTTACCAGTGATTCTGCCCTGCGTTATCAGAGAGTTCTCAATGGAAAAAGGCCTTATGAATGCAACGAATGTGGGAAATCTTTTGCTGGTAGTTCTCCTTTCCGTTATCACCAGAGATGTCATACAGGAGAAAGGCCTTATAAGTGCAGTGAATGTGGGAAATCTTTTACTGCTAGTTCTGCCTTCCGTTCTCACCAGAGAATTCACACTGGAGAGAGGCCTTATAAGTGCAGTGAATGTGGGAAATCTTTTACTGCTAATTCTGCCCTCTATTATCACCGCATACGTCATACTGGACAAAAGCCTCATCAGTGTCCTGAATGTGGCAAATCTTTTATTTTTAGTTCTGCCCTCCGTTCTCACCAGAGATGTCATACAGGAGAAAGGCCTTATAAGTGCAGTGAATGTGGGAAATCTTTTACTACTAGTTCTGCCTTCCGTTCTCACCAGAGAATTCACACTGGAGAGAAGCCTTATAAGTGCAGTGAATGTGGGAAATCTTTTGCTGCTAGTTCTGCCCTCTATTCTCACCGCATACGTCATACTGGACAAAAGCCTCATGAGTGCCCTGAGTGTGGGAAATCTTTTACTTTTAGTTCTGCCCTCCGTTGTCACCAGAGACGTCATACAGGAGAAAGGCCTTATAAGTGCAGTGAATGTGAGAAATCTTTTATTGCTAGTTCTGCCCTCCGTATTCACCAGAGAGTTCACACTGGACAAAACTGTTCTAAGTGCAATGAGTGTGGGAAATCTTTTCTCACAAGTACCCGCCTTCGAGCTCACCAGAGCGTCCACAGTGGAGAGAGGCCTTACCGATGCAGTCAGTGTGGCAAATCCTTTCCCCGAAAAGATACCCTCGTTGTTCATCAAAAGGTTCACTCGGGTGAACGGCCTTATGAGTGTAATGAATGTGGGAAATCATTTACTTTTAGTTCTGCCCTCCGTACTCACCAGAGAATTCACACTGGAGAAAGGCCTTATGAGTGCCGTGAATGTGGGAAATCATTTATATGTAGTTCTTCTCTCCGTTCTCACCAGAGACTTCACACTGGAGAAAAGCCTTATGAATGCCATGAATGTGGAAAATCATTCACTGGTAATTCTTCCCTCCGTTGTCACCAGAGACTTCACACTGGAGAAAGGCCTTATGAATGCCATGAATGTGGAAAATCATTCACTGGTAATTCTTCCCTCCGTTGTCACCAGAGACTTCACACTGGAGAAAGGCCTTATGAGTGCCGTAAATGTGGGAAATCATATATGAGTAGTAATGGTTTTAAATATCATAACAATCTTCACACTGCAGGAAGGATTTAAAATAGGACAGAATGTGATACTTCTTACTTAGTATAGTTTAGGCTGGAGGACAACCTCTGTGAGGCAATTACCTACTTGTACTGAACTTGGTTCACCTCAATGCTATGGAGTGACTTCTGATGTGTTCCAGTTGGGAAAAATTCAGAACCTGTGTTGTACTTTGATATGCATGCAGTCATTACAAAATTAAAGTCACTGTCAGTTCCTGTGGCAGATGTCCTTTCACCTCTGGCATTTCCTGATAATGTGCATAGGTCAACACCCCAACATGTTTAATGATGCTGACTTTGCCTTTTCATTTGCTGATGTAAATTATGGGTTATTAGAACTCATTCCCTTCTAAGTTAGGGCATGGATGTGACCCAGTGATCTAGTGTGTGATCTGAGTTCTGGGTGGTAACTTGCATAGGAAGACAAAATCCCATAGGGATGTTGTTGGTCTCATGATGCTTTGGTAAGTATTTGCAGCTTCCAAATCACCACACAGGGATTGTGTTCCATATGTTTTTCTGATGTATATATTAGTAAATGCCATCTTTGTTTAATTACCTTTAGTCTTTGACATTGTATGTACTCTAAGGGGTGGTTTGAAAGCAGAATTGGAAAAAAAAATAAGTAAGTAAATAAATAAATAAATAAATAAATAAATAAATAAATAAATAAATAAAATAAATAGCAAGCAGGATTGGGCTCTCCCAACATAAAGGAATGAACAGATTGCATTGCATCCCAACCTGGATGTGTCTCTAAGGATAATTGCAAATAAATCAATAATATGTACATAGATCTATCCATAAATACTCTAGCTTGTTTGTTAATTTGCATTATAACCCAAACTTTTCTGATAGGCTGAATTCTGTACCTAAAATTCATATTTTGAAGTTGTAATCCCCAGTACCTCACAATTTCACTATAGTTAGACATAGCACCTTTAAAGAAATGATGAAGTTAAAATGGGTTATTAGGATGGACTCTCAGGCAGTATGGATGGTTTCATGATACGAAATGAGTGTATGGGAACATATGGATGACCACCTGAAGACAGGGAATCTCCATCTACCAGCCAAGGAGAGGCCTCAGAAGAAACTAACTCTGCTGATGACACTTTATGTCTGATTTCTAGACTCCAGATTTGTGGGAAAATTAATTTCTCTTGTCTAATCACCCAGTGTGCGGTACTGGTACATCAGTTTTAGCTATTACATCCTCCTAGGGGCCACATCTGGGTTTTGTGTTCTAGATGCCAGGAAGTTTTGCGTGTTCACGGGTCACCCTGAAGAGGGAGCAGCTGAGACCATCTCTAGTGCTTTTGGAGACCATGTGAATATTTTGCTTGTCCACAGCTGATACCACATAGTGCCCTGCACTGTTGAGTGGAATCTCTACCTCAGATCCTTCAGAGGAACCATGTGACCTGCTGTACAGTATTCACTTGTGACACCACAGGGGAAAGGGAACTGTAAGTGGTCCTCTAGATGACTGCATAATAAGGTAATTAGAGGAGATATCAGGCCCCTAATGGAAGGTATGTATTTTTTTTTCTTTTAGTTTTAGGATTTTAATTACCCATGAGAGACATAGGCAGTAGGAGAAGCAGGCTCTCCAGAGGGACCCTTGGATCACGACCTGAGCCAAAGGCAGAGACTCAACCACTGAGTCACCCAGGTGTCCCAGAATATGTCTTATAAAAGTGTATCCACAAATATTGTAGTGGCTGAGTGGGCAGGATCAGTGTTCACAAATTCTCCACTTTCAGATACATATCCTGTGTAACAGGTCATTATCAAAATAATCCAAGGTCCCTGATTTCTCATTTCTTCTCTGGTGCTTGCTTAATGTCAAGGAAATTGTGGTGCGGGCAGAAAAAAGATAAGGACCAGGGAGAATTCATAGTTAGGGATGTAGCTTTTTTTTTTTTTTTTTAAGATTTTATTTATATATTCATGAGAGACAGTCAGAGGGAGAAGCAGGCTGCATGCAGAAGCCTGATGTGGGACTCGATTCCGGGACTCCAAGATCACGCCCTGGGCCAAAGGCAGATGCTACACCACTGAGCCACCCAGGGATCCCTGGGATGTAGCTTTTGTGATCCTGCCTAGACAGTATTGTTGGTATATCAAACTATGGCAGGCACCTCTTCTGAAACCTCTTCCCAGGTACACCCCAGTGTTTAAAGAAAAAAAAAAACCATCTTACTGGATGTGGTGGTGCAGAGACCTATTCCTAGTGTGGTTTCTCAAATTATATTTCTGTCCCAAAGACCTTGAATTAACCATTTCTTCTCAAGGTGGACTTCAGACTTTTTCATTGGTCTGAAGGCTCAGGTGTTTTGCAAAGACGTTCCTTTCAACACTACTGTTTTTCTTCTCTGGACATACAGCACTATTTCTTCATGTGTAAAAAAATAAAAAGTTTCTTTATGTGTTTGGAGCATTTGGGTTATTTCCAGCTTTTGGCTTTGGGAAACAAACCCATCTATATGTTTTCATTGTAACTCCTTATGCAGATAGAGGTTTCATTTCTCTTAAAACTCAAAGCACAGGACCTGGGTGGCCCAGCGATTGAGTGCCTGCCTTTGGCCCAGGGCATGATCCTGGGTCTGGGGATCGAGTCCCTCATTGGGGTCCCTGTGAGGAGCCTGCTTCTCCCTCTGTCTATGTCTCTGCCTCTCTGTTTCTCATGAATAAATACATAAAATCTCTTAAAACAAAACAGGGCAGCCCGGGTGGCTCAGCAGTTTAGCGCTGGCTTCAGCTCAGGGCGTGATCCTGGAAGACCCGGGATCGAGTCCTACATCGGGCTCCCTGCATGGAGCCTGCTCTCCTTCTGCCTGTGTCTCTGCCTCTCTGTGTGTGTGTCTTTCATGAATAAATAAATAAAGTCTAAAAAACAAAACAAAAACACCCCTCAAAGTTCAATGCCTAAGTCGAAGTGGGTCAGTGTAAACATTTTCATGAAATGGGATCTAAACTGTTCACTACTGCATTCCACTAGGCTTGTATGAGAGTTCCAGTATTTCCAGCCTCTGCCAATACTTAGTAGGGCCAGTCTTTAATGTCAGCTCTTTTAATACACATGTAGTACTATGTTGTGATTGCATTTCCTAGGAATTTCTGACTTCGAGCTTTTTTTTTTTTTTTAAGATTTTTATTTATTCATGAGGGAGAGAGGGGGGCAGAGACACAGGCAGAGGGAGAAGCAGGCTCCATGCAGGGAGTCCGACATGGGACTTGATCCCAGGTCTCCAGGATCACACCCTGGGCTGAAGGCAGCGCTAAACCACTGAGCCACCCAGGCTGCCCTTTAGCATTTTTTTTAATGTGGTTTTTTTATTTTTTTTTTATTCATAGAGACAGAGAAAGAGGAAGAGGGAGAAGCAGGCTCCATGCAGAGAGCCTGACGTGGGACTCCATCCAGGATTTCCAGGATCACATCCTAGGCTGCAGGCGGCGCTAAACTGCTGCGCCACCGGGGCTGCCCTTTAATGTGTTATTTACCACCTATATGTCGTCTGTGGTAAAATTTCCGTTTGTATCATTTGTGTATTTTCTTTCATATGAATTTTGACTATTCCTTTTCATTTACAAATAAGATGGTGTGGGGGCAGGAAGGCGTGGGCGTTCATCTGTGGGGTCTGAAGACAGGAGAGAGGTACAGTCTACAGAATCATGTGCACATGGAGAGGAGGTGTGAGCCAAGGACCTCAGGGTCCTGATATTGAGGACTCTCTGGTAAAGCAGGGCCCATACCTGGCTGTCTCGGGGCATAATCTGGGAGCCTTCATTTGGAATATCGTGACAGGGAGATGGGACCTTGCAGGCCACACCCAGAGCTTAGATTGCACCTACATGTCCTGTGTCTGTTACTACTGAGGACTGAACAGTGATTGATGGGAAGACGAGAGGAGTGCAGCATTAGTGGCACCAGGACCTGGCATTTATCTTACAGTGGGGAGCTGAGGTGGCAGGGGAGACTGGGGTGCAGGGGGGGGTGTTGGATTGTGGGTTCTCAGAGAATTTTTTTTTATTTTTTTTTTATTTATTTTATGATAGTCACACAGAGAAAGAGAGAGAGGCAGAGACACAGGCAGAGAAAGAAGCAGGCTCCATGCACCGGGAGCCCGACGTGGGATTCGATCCCGGGTCTCCAGGATCGCGCCCTGGGCCAAAGGCAGGCGCCAAACCGCTGCGCCACCCAGGGATCCCGAGAGAGAATTTTCATGGTTCCATCTGTCGCTGTCCTGACAGGGTGGCGTGACCTTTGAGGACATTGCTGTGTCCTTCTGTCCTCGTCATCTTCAGAGATGGCACAATGAAGAAAACTGTGCAGTGGTTGTGCAAAATATCTTAACCATAGCTCAGTGATGATTACTCATAGGGTTCATCCTTGAGAAAGGCCTTATTAGTGTAGTGACTATGTCAAGTCTTTTACCTCTATCTCTGTCCCCCATTATCATTGAAGATCTCATACAGGGGAAATACTTTATGTGTGCAGTGAATGTGGGAAGTGTTTCATCACCAGTACTGGCTTTTTTTCTCACGAGAGAATTCCCACTGGAGAAAGTCCTTATGGGGTAAGCAAGGAGGAGGGAATTGCAGTAGTCGGTGGATTGTTGAGGGACTCCGTGGCCACCATGGATGTGGGTGAACCGGTTGACTCTGGTCTGTGTTTTGAGAAGGGCCGAGGCCGATTGTGGGTGTTGCAGGTGAGAAAAGGAAGGGAGGAGTCAGGGCAAACCCCAGAGCTTGCCTTATGTGAACCTTAAAACGTGCCAGTTCCCCGCAAAAATGGATTGATGTGGGAGCGAAAGAGAAGTGCAATTTGGAACAAAGCAGCTGAGTCAAAATAGCAGGCCAGTGTGGAAAACAAAAGAGGTAGTCTTTTTAAGGGGAAAGGGAGGAAGTTGGGGAGGCTGTTGTAAACTACAAGTCCACTGGAGTAAGTTGGGAGTTGTGGCTTCTCATTGGCTGAGCTGTTGGGTGTGGTGATCAGGAAAGCCTGTCTTTTGGGGTTTGCCATAATGAAGTATCACATATAAGGTCAATCCACAGCTAGAATCCAGGCTTAATCGCCTGACCTATGAAGTCAGACCTGAGCCCAAACTAAGTTTGGACACTTAACTGACTGAGCCATCTAGGCACCCCAAGTGGGGGAAATCTTTTAAGTAGAGGGCAACATTCATTCGCCACAAGAGAATTCACACAGA